GAAATTTTTGGGGGGAGAATATCTGTAACAGCCAATGGGAAAATTTATAAACAAATCAAATTTTTAATATCTCAAATACTAAGGGAGAATTGGTACAAAATATTTGTAGATGGTATATCACACCCAAAGAAACTGCAAAAACTGGTAAAGGATATAATGGGAAATGCTGGAAATGTCAGAGATGCAACATTCTATCACATGTGGTGGATATGCAAGAAAGCAAGAAAATATTGGATAGAGATACATGAAGTAATGCAAAAATATTAAAAATTAATTTTGCAATGGACTCTAAAAGTATGTTATTAAATATTCTACCAAATGAAAACCGTTTGTTACAGCTACAAATGGAAAAAGCCAAGTTGTTGTGGACATATTTTCTATGTGACCTCTGAACATAAACCTGAGATCCTATGACTGTCTTCTGCTACATCTTCCTTCAAGGAAAATATTCCTTCAAATGGAGGACGACTTGTTCTGTTGGAGAAAAGTCCTCTTCGTTGAAGGAAGTCTTTCTCTGTTGCAGGAAGGCAGACCCGGTAGAATGGAGTCATAGAATCCAGCATATGGAGCAGCATCATGGGATCCAACCCACAGTCTCTCATCCAATGAAGCGACAGTATTTTTCTTGTCAGATATATGGGGCAACAGAAGGGGGTAGTGGGAAACTGGTTGGAGGCTGCCCCCTAATTCTTCCCTATCCCTTGGAATCATCCCTGGCAGGGTACTGAACCTTAGACCTTCATGCATACCATATACTCCGCTATGGTTCTTCACATAGTGATTCTGTACTTTGCCTGTGAAAAAAGGTACTTCCTCTTTTGCTTGAAGACTTTGCTGAATAATCAGAAACTCCCCTGGTCACCCATCTTCCTGCAGGCTTGCCTGCTGTGGGGTTGTGTTTCTGAACTATATACCCATGGTACACTTGTGTCATGTTTTCAAAAGATGCAGGGAGCATTGATGAAGACATCATTTTCTATTTGTGGTGTTTGTTTCTCTGTTGCCTCCGTGCTGGATCTTGTGGGTGTCGCTGCAGCTGTGCATGTCGGTAATGATCCTTACACTAAATGTTTCCGGTCTGCTGTGTTCCCTGGAGGATCTTGTCAGCTTCAGCTGAATGGAGGCCTGCGCTGAATGATTTAACGTGGTGTAAGCAATCTGCATATGCCATGTGTGTGAGAGAGGGAGAAGCTGCCGTTGGTATTGCATTATTTTATTAGAGTTTCAAAGCTGATATTAAGTGGACATGATTTCTTCCTATGGACCATTAATTTTGTTTTATTGCTGGACTGATGGCCATTACCCCTTCTTGCCAATACATTCCTCCATTAGGCTTGTACAATTAACAAAATATGAGCTGTTTAAGGCATTGCTTTGAACAGCGGGTCAGTGAGACGCTAGGGTGGGTGAAGGGGGATTTATACAAATAGTTTGTGACCATGTGAGGTCATTATTGAGAGACAGAGTCTGTTGCAGATTTTATATCAATTTAATTATGTTTTTTTAAAAAAAATCAAAAGAAAAATAGATACAATAGAAAAATACAGTAGATACAAAATAGATACAGTAGAAAAATACCACCAAGTATTAAAAAGTGCATTCTGTATTATAAGCAAAGGCCAGTTCTCAATAAAATTATCTAATTGTACGTTGGCATGTCTGAGACTTTTATGTTGATAGGTTAATTTAGTCATTCGAGCTACTTTCCAAATCTTGAAGATCCAATCATTTATGGGGGGAATTTCTTGTGATTTCAAGTATGAAGCAACACATTTTCCTGGTGATGTTAACAAACTATTAACTCTCTCTCTCTAGCATAATCATAGCCTTTCAGATAGCACAATAAGATAGAAGTCATAAACAGACAACGCAGTTCTTTCTATAAACCTGAAAAAAATGCTCCAGGTTTGCAGAAAAAAATCTGAAATCTTTATATTTATATTTACATATGTGCGTGCGCACAGACACATATATTGGAGGGTTAAAACTGCTCAAAATAATAAAAGGAGCATCTTTAGCTTTAAGACACCACTGTCCATTGCTAGTCAACCACAATAGTATTGCCAGCCTTCCAGCCTTGGTTTCTCAGTAAAAGGCAGGACTTGTTAGGGCCCAGCCTGGCAGCAAGCACCAGACAACTTGATCCTTTCAAGGGCTGTTTTGGCCTTTGAATCAGGACTTGTTAGGGCCCAGCCTGGCAGCAAACACCAGACAACTTGATACCACACAAGTTGCATATTTCACCCAGCACTGGCTGTTTAATGCTGTTCAACAGCACACACACACACCCAAAGCCAATGTGGTATATTTGGTAGAGTTTTGGAGTCAGATCTGGGAGACCCAGGTTTGAATAATCTCTGTTCTATGGACACTACTGGGTGAGCTTGGGCTAGTTACACATTCTCAGCCTAATTTACCTCATAGGTTGTTGTGAGAGTAAATGGACAAGAAGAGAATGATGTAAGCTGCTTTGGAGTCCCCATTATGGAGAAGGTGCAGTATAAATGAAATAAAAATTAATAAATGTAGTTGAAGATGGAGGGGGGCAGATAAAAGGTAGGTTGGTTGATGGGTCAGAGGGAGATAAGGAAGCAAGGAAAGGTTACAGGGGTTGCCAGAGGAAGGGGAAAGGGAAAATAGTGTGGGGAGGAAGATCAGGGGAAAATGAGATGCCCCCCACAAGTTCTTGTGGGTTCATCACTACATAACTGGGTCTGGCTAGCAGCTACCATTGTGCAACAGGACTTATCTTGGCAGCAAGCACAATACAACATGGCTGTAATTTTCCTTAGTAGAGGCTGACAGGGCTAGGGAAGGAGAGAAAGATTAATACAGGGGGAGAAGATAAAGATGAGTTGGCTGGTAGGTGGGAAGCAGAGAAGGAAGCAGGAAAAGGGGAGAGGCTATGGGGGCTGCTGGAGAGCGGTTTAAATTGCTCTGGTCCCAATGCGTTTTTTTTTTAACCTGGAGAATCGCGATCACACTCTCCTCCTTGTTCCACATCGCTGAGCAGCCACATTGCTCCCCGCCATCCACACACGGGAGCGTGTATCGGTGTTTTTTCTCTCTCTCAGTTTGGGCATGTGCACAGGTGGCCATCTGTAGAATTAAAATTTTCACGCGTGCGCAGAACAGCAACTTCCACTTCAACCCAACTGCTGTAACACTTCCCTTTAAACTTTAAAGGAACACTTCCCTTTAAACTTTTACCCCGAAACTGGCCTCCATGAGATCCTGAACTCGTTTAACCAACAAAACTAGGCACTGTTTAAACATAGTTTTCAATAACGTGGGAGCGGAGCTCCGCCTGTGCACATACCGCCGACGCTAAAATAAAATGGCGGGCAAAGAGCAGAAGCCTCAGGCTTCCAAGCGGAAGTGGCTTGACACCGCAGGAGCAATCAGATGTCAGAAAAGTGCGGCTAGAACCAGAGAATCAGGAAAACACCACTTGGGGACCTGGTAACAAAATACTCCGTTTTAAAGGGGGTTTGAGCTGGAAAGCGATGGCTGGGGACTGTGCGCAGATGTTGGGTGTGTGAACGTGGATATAAAATCCGTTACTGAAGCGTGCTGAAAGCGGACTAAATGGCCTGTCTGAACGCACCCAGTGACTATTATGGATGAGAGGTAAATTCGAGTCCAGTAGCACCTGCCGGGGTACCCAACCTTTTCCACCTTGTCAGCACCTTTGGAATTCTGACACAGGGTGGTGAGAACAAGCATAAAATGTCTGCCACAGGAGGCAGAGCCAACCACAAAATATCAGTGAGCAAGGCTATCTATATACTATTAGCCACATGTGATCACGATTTCCGGATAGTAAATCTGCAGATCGGGGCCACGTGGAGACTAAAGAGATCTTTCTGCACACTTGGGGGACTCCTCAGATGTGCAGAAAAATCTGAAATGTTTTTTTAAAAATACATGGAGAGTTTAAATTCCCCCAAAAGTAAAACAGATTTTTGAGGTTTGAGATTTTAAGAGTCCAAGCTCTCTTTTTCTGATGGTTGACAGGGACTGGGTTGAGAGAGTCACAGGTCTGAGTCTGACTCCTGACATTCTAGGCATTGTACTGTGCTGGGTCCTCTTTAATTCTGGAAATATCTCAATATAATGGTGTAAATGGTATCTGTGACAACCCTGTGGTGTCTTTAATGCAATAAAACTTCATACACTAAGTCAGTCATTTAAAAAAGCCACTGTAACTAATGCAGCTCAAGAACTAGTTTACTTTCAAAACTGTTGGCACATGAAATGAAACATGAAATCTAAGGAACAACTTGACTTTGTTCTCACAATATTCCTATACTTTTTTTTTAAATGTGCAATTTTAAGCTGACGTTCTCTTATCTTTTTGTAAATTTGAACAAGGGTGACAATTGGGCTGGTGATGTTGACTGTCTTCACAATCTTGATTTGTCGATGAAAGTTAAGGAAACGACAAAGAAAATGGAGATGCTTCAGTCCACCAGTTAAAGAGTGAGCAGAGGCGTTCACAAGGATTGAGCTGTATGGGACTAAAGCAAACTGAACTGAGGGGTGTGATCTCATTTCTTATTCTCTGATCGTATCAACACAGGACTGGGGAGACCACTGCTGCTTTCTTTGCTCCTGGGTACCAAAATTCCCAGGATGGAGGGCCAGTGCAAATGTTGCTCCGTGCACCCTGAGGATAAGCTCACCAGCCGTATAACATTTAGCAACAGGAATACGGAATTCACATAGTCACAGGTGTTAAAAGAACACACACCTGAGAACAGTTCCCAACAGCTGATCCAATCATAGCTGAGGCCAGTTCTTGGCTTTCTACCTTCATAGATCTTGCCTGCTGAGGAGTCCCACTGTATTGCTGCTCTAACTGCATTCTGAATTGGTAGAGTCCTAGCAGGGCTATAGCATGAGTAGTTCCCCCCCCCCATGTTAAATGCTGCAGCAACCTCCATTATTCCTGGGCTCCTGTGCCTTTCCTTACTCAATGTCCTTTATTCTATCAATAGATACCTTCTGAAGTTGGATTCTGAAGCTTTGTGGCCTTTTGCGCCAGTCTTTTCCAAGGGATCTCTGACTCGTAAGTTTCCACAATTGGTATTTTGTATAGAGTTTATACTGAGGCTGGAGGTTAAAGATCATACTAGTATCTGTCCACTCCATGGTGTGTAAAGAAGAAACGGACAAGGAAGCTATTGGCGTTTTGAAATATAGTGAAATTCTAATTAGAATATGTCTGCAAGTGACAAAGCAGTGCTAAAATGTAACATTGTATTTAATTAGTCTTTATTGATTTTGCATTATGGTACACTTTGTACTCTCTCTTTGCAATTAACCGTACATCAGCGTAGGACCGGAAGGAGTTTGCTCTGGGATTGTTGGCAGGTATCCTCCCACATAGCACTGCAGAAACAAGAGTTCTGCTTCTTATACCAGTGACTGATTGGCTTGACTTTTCTTGAGCGTGTGTGTGTTATGCAGGCCATCTCTTTGTAAACTGACACCATTTCTCTGATAATTCAAGTTGTATTAGCTTGACAAAATCTGACTGAGTGTCAAGAATTTTCCAGTCTTTGCAGTGGACAGAAGTCAGTTCACCCTCTTTTTTCTCCCCACTGCTGAATGAACAGGTATGGATTTAGAAAACAAAAAGAATCCTGTATTTGTGTCCAGCTTGCAGTGGCTCTTTAGAGCTGCTTACGTCAGCCTGTCTACTGATCACACCTAAACCAACCAAAGAATATATATAACAAAAGCCGCCATTAGAGGGACTGGGCAGAATACATGTTTTGAATGCAGGAGGCCCTAGGTTCATCTCTTTGCTAAAGGATCTGATAATAGGTTGTGTGAAAGGCCTCCTGAGGCCTTGGAGAGCTGCTGCCAGCCAGAGTTGACAGTACTGACCTTGAGTGGCCTGCCTCAGTATAAAGCAGTGTCATGAACTGAACTAAAAATGTACAGTGTACATTTGACTTTCCTGTATATGTGCATCGAATAATTTTGATATTACTTTCAAAGCATGTACAGCTGAAGATATGATTGAAGCCCCACATTTGTCCGGGTACTGGTCCCCAGATTAATTTGTAAAAGGAATGGGTGGCGGGTGTTTCCTACAAACAGGTGTACATACACGCAGGCAGGCTGAATGTGAGTTCGCTGTAATGTGTGAATAGGACTTATGTGTCATGTGGTACTGAGATAAAAAAAAATTAACATCAAGAGCACCGCACTTTACTTAATGATTGTTTTACTGTGTAATGATTGTTTTATGATGTTTTAACTGTTGTTATGGCAATTGCCTTTGTTGTAGCCGCCCTGAGCCTGCTGGGGAGGGCGGGGTATAAATCTAACAAATAAATAAATAAATAATACTTGGGAAAATACAAACAAGAGATATTCTCTGTGTGTAACCTCAGGCCAGTCATTCTTTCTCAGCTAGCCTACTCTGCAAGGTTGTTGTGAGGAGGAGGGGAGAAACATGTGTCCTGTCCTGAGGTCTTTGGAGGAAAGCCTGGGCACAGCAAATGAAATACATAAGAGTTTGGGGCAAAATGTGTGCTGTGTTGCACTTGTGGCAAAGAAACCTCCTAAATCTCTTATAAGAACGTAAGAGAAGCCAACGTTGGATCAGGCCAATGGCCCATCCAGTCCAACTCTCAGTTACACAGTGACCAAAAATACCAGGTGCCATCAGGAGGTTCACCAGTGGTGTCACCAACATTGCAGTGGCTCAGGGGGACAAAAGCTTCAGCATCCACCAATGTACACAGTTCTGCTTTTTGCAAGGGGAGGGGAAGTTGGCAGTTTGGATGAGATTAAAATGTAGCAGGGAAGCGTAAATGCTGGAAGGCTACAAGTGGTGGCACTGAAGGAAAGTAATGGATTGAGTCCCATAACTGCAAGGTAGGGTAGACCGGTTAACCAGGCGAAGCTTTCCCCCACCAGATATATCTCCATGGCTGTGGTCACACACACTAAATAATCCACTTTCAATGCATTTTCCAACTGGATTTTTACTGTGAACTGGCAAAATCCAGCTGGAAAGTGCATTGAAAGTGGATTATTTAGTGTGTGTGACCGCAGCCCATGTCAGGAAAATCTTTTCCCCTATCTGAGGCTTAGTGTAGTGCTTAAGAGCAGCAGACTCTAATCTGGAGAACCGGGTTTGATTCCCCACTCTTCCTCCCCATGAAGCCTGCCGGGTGTCCTTGGGCCAGTCACAGTTCCCTCAGAACTCTCTCAGCCCCACCTGCCTCCTAAGTTGCCTGTTGTGGGGAGGGGAAAGGAATACGATTGTAAGCCGCTTTGATTGTAAGCTGCTTTGTTGTGGGGAGGGGAAAGGAGTACGATTGTAAACTGCTTAAGGGGAAGAAAAGAGGGCTATAAAAACCTTCTCTTCTCTTTTTTCTTCACTCCTCTCCTCTCCTCTTCTCTCCTCTCCTCTGCTGTCCTCTCCTCTCCTCTGTTAAAAGTGGCAACTGAAGGACCTAGAGTGGGATAGTGGAGGCTGAACTTCACACAGGGATTTGAATAAACCAGCCATTTCTGTGTCTGTGGGCTTCTAGGACTATTTGAACAACGCCTTGGCTCCTAAACCAGTCCACGGAAATATATGATTAACTGTTATCGGAAGTCATCATCACTTCTGTGCAAAAATAGACAGGCTGCGATGAGTATTTGAATAAATCATAAGAACAGCTAACCTGATACCCCATAAGGACATGCAGTTGGCTGAGCAAAGAGTGCACTCAGGCTTGACCCTGCATGGCTCGAAGGGTACTGTGCTTGCTTAGGGAACCGGTGATTAAAAGCTGCAGTGTGGCAGCCCGACTGCCTCTCACTGGCAGTCCCTTCCACTCCCCCACCTCCATTGTACTACTCTTGAGATCCACTTCAAGGATCAAAATAACAAAGCTTCTCTCTGCCTGCCTGGCTGAAGGGGAAAGGTTACACAATGTGAGTCTGTTTCCTTTTAACAAAGAGTTTTTGGTTGTATTAATACATAAATAGGAAGAAAACAAGGGGGGACCCGCGATACTCGC